CCAGAGATGAGTTCTAATGAGTGAAAAGAAAGAACAAAGTAATTTCTGCGAAACTCAACTCTCAAGACCACGTCTCAGAGTCCTGTCTGGAGAGGTCACACATCTTCAACTCGGAGTTTAGTTTGGAGTCTGCATTCCAAGGCCACTTGACGTTACCCCAAGTACATGGTGTCCTTAAATAACCTTTTCCCAGAAAGTAGTGGTTGAGTAACCTAAACCAAAAACCTCACTCCCTAAAGGACTGGAGGGGCAGGAGGCTTTCATGGCCAGAGCAGTTTGGCAGTCTGGAGCTCACCCACTGCCTTGCTTCTATTCCTGCCTCAAAAGAGAGGACCTGACTGCATCCCCCCACAGTGAGCGGCAGCGACTCAGATGAGAGAAATCAGGGCTAGTGCTCACTCCGGAGAGCCCCCAGCCCAGGAGGAACCCTCCCTGGGGCTGCAGGCAGCACAACCTCCCCCAGGCTGTTATTCCCAGAGGGCACAGTACACACACAGGAGTAAATGGGGCAAAATCTCTTTCCAGACCAAATGCGAACTCACATGCAACGGGGGTGCTTCAGCAGCTGGCCTCATGTGGAAGGGCATTCACTGCGGGCCTGCACACGTGCACTTCCCAGTCCATCCTGCTATTGCTTGTCCACTGCTCATTCTTTTCAAGGAAGCATTCACAGTGGGTTTCCCTGGCGGTCTAGAGGTTAAGTCTCACTGCTATCACTACTGCAGCCTGAGTTCGGGCCCCGGCCAGGGAGCTGACCCACATGGTGTGGCAGACCGCTCTCATCTTCCGCTGCTTCCCTGAGCAGTAGATCTCAGTCAAACCATCCACCTGTTCTGCGCCCCACACCTTTGGACTACACCTGGTTTCTTCTATGCTTACAAAAAGTATTGAGAACCTTATAAAGCCAAGAAAAGTGTAACCCATATCCTTGTGTGGCTAGGGAGTGCAGTCAGTGGGAGCAAAAATGAATAACCATGTTGCATTTGTGAAGCTGAATGCATGAACCCAGATACAAGCAGTGAAACGGGACATTTGCCTCCTCAACTAGAGTAAAAGTCTGCCTAGACTCAGAGCCTTTCCATCTGACGTTCAACAATTTGCTTATCTGTCCAGCAGCGCAGTCACTAGCCACTAACAGAGTCGAATCAGAAGGCTCTGACAACTGCCAAATGCACGTGGTGTCTCAGTCACCACAGGGCACTGACGTGGCAGGTCCCATAACTGACAGAATCTCACCTCTCCACCTGGCGTGGCGCTGGCACAGGTTAGGCCTACTGACTTGAGGGCGGGGTAGCTAGGGTGTGCCATCTTTGCCAAAACTCCCCAGAGAAAGGAGCCTGGCATCTCAGCAAGCTGGCCTTGACCCTAGGAAGCTCGAGGACCAGAGTTGAAGGCCAGGTCTTGGGAAGAAGTGCCTACTTTGGTGGCCAATGACTTGCGAACTAAGTAGCCCTGAGAAGATGGAACCAGGTCTGGTTTGCATTTGGTTCACGCCTCTAGAAAGCTTTCACTGCCACACTGTTGCCACAGCAAAACAAGCAAGTCAAACAGAAAGGCAACCACACAGGAAATAGTATCCAAGCCATCAGGCACCTTGGAAACACCTCCGTCCCAGGTCAGGCAGAGCAGGTGAGGGCCTGAAGCAGCTAATCAGGTACAGAAGGACAAAAGGCAGGGCCCCCCGGTACCCAAACTGCCTCGAGCTTTTCCTCAAGAATTGTAGCCACAGCCCACACAGCTCTTACAACCAGGTGGACACCCGTGAACGGTCTGTCACAGAAACCCCACTTGGCAGAAGACCTGGTGAAGTAATGACAATGACAAGTGCTGTTCACTGTCGCAAAAGTAAGGAGTGGAGTCATTAGAGTGAGACACAGATTCTTGTTATGAACGTGCCTCTTGCCAACACACAGCCTGTTGACTGTCAATCACGCTACAGCCCAGATCAGCAGAAAAATCAAACTCTGAACTTTTTTGGTAGGTAGATTGTTTATGAGTCAAGAAGGCAAGGCCAGAAAGGGGTGCAGACACAGACCCCCACTTCTGGGGCAGTGCTGCTGCCAGTCGTGGCTGGGGATGTGGGCCACAGGCTGGGCACAGGCCACAGGTGGGGGCACCGCTGATCTTCTGTCCTCAGTGCCGCAGGAGGGCTGGAGACGGCCGAGCGCGCCCATGGCCACCTCTGTGGACAGGCCCTCGAGTGACCTGGACAGCAGCCCGTTGTGTAAACTAGTACATCTGACCCTTGTGGTCAGCATGGGCCCACCCTATGACCAAATGCAGAAACACCACTGGCAGTGCCCCGAGGTGCGTCGAGCTGATTCACAGTGTGAGCCCGCACAGCTCACACACCTGGCAGAGGGAGGAGGTCTGTGCACAGGAGGGAGTTTGCCTGTCTTTGCTGTGATGATTGCAAGGAAAATGTCAGAGCAAATCACAAAGAAGTTCCCAGAAGCGTTTCTGAATTCACACAGGTGCCCACCAGCAGGTGTGGCCACCGCGAGAGCAAGGGTCTCCTGGGACGACAGAGTGCCAGGTCTTGATTTTACAGGGGTCGCTCTTTGTAGTGCTTTTCTTTGAACACAGCTTCCCTCCCATTCCTCTGCCTGTTCACAGGACAACAAAGGTGGGGGCTCTGCTGACGAGGGCTCGCACGTGGGGGGGTGAAGGAACACAGGGACACCTACCCTTCGCAGCTTTGCCGTCCACAGCGTGAATGGTCAGAGTCACAGGGCTGTCTGAACTAAATGGCACTTCATTGCCAGAGAACCCTGCAGCTGCATTTTATCTTGGCAGTAGAGAGGCAAAGAGCCTTCTGTCATGCCACAGAAGAAAGCAGCCAGTGCCCGGCTGCCCGCCAACTGCCAGTGGTCTTAGTCCTTCCCGTTCCTTTGGCTTCCCCAGCACATGTCATGTTCACGCTGTGCCAGGAAGACCCTTAACAGCTTTACAAACAATACTTCACTTACACCTTGTCCAGTCCTATGACGAGCTGGGCTATTTTTGAGGTGAGGCAAATAAAGCACAGAGAGATTGCGTGACTGGCTCAAGGTCACACAGCAAATCAGAGGCTAGAGTAATTTAAAGTGAGGGAGTCTGGCTCCACAGCCTGATTCCCCTCCATCATGCTGCCTCTCAAACCTTTGCCAATTGCAGGTGAAGAGAATCCAGGATTCGTGCAGGATCTCCTTACACATTCTGCAACACTTGCCTTTCTGGAATGACCTCGGATTCTTGAGAATTAGCAGGAAGGAAAAGACAGAAATGCTACCGAGCACTACACTGACTAGCACATCAGAGCCCCTGTCTTCTGGGACAGCTCTTCCAAGCTGGTGCAAGGCCAGGGAATCCCTAGGATGTTTATGTTTTGTGCCATCACTGCAACTTTGAAAGGTCTCCACACTCAAATTCAGAACTGCCAAATGAGGTATACAGAGAAAAGTTAATTATGGAGAAAGAACAGCCCGGGGCAGGGAGGGAGGGTGGGGGTCATCTTTCCAGGGACTTCACAGCTCATGGCCTCCAGAGACTGAGGAGCTTCTTCCCTGAAATTCTTTGTGCACGTCGGGTAGGGGCCACTGGTTCTAGGCTGTCTCTAGGCCTGCAGGGCCAATGAGTGGATGCACTAGCTGCTTGCTACTCTCAGGGCATTCTGCCAGGGCAGGAGGTCCTGAGGCGGGGGGGGGGGAAGGGGGGGGCACATACCCCACAGTACTTCCACACTCTGTTAATCTAAGTCAACAGCCAAGGAGGCAGCCGGCTGTAACCCCGCAAAGGGAGGACTCGCTTTCTCCTGGGAAGAGGACTGTGTGGAAGGGCCTGCTGAGGACGGGCATCTTCACATGCCATGCCTGGGCCCACTGTGCGAACACTCAAGTCACTATACTCTAGTGGCAGAAGGCCACCCTCCCCCACCCCCATGATTCTGCTGCGTGGCCACCTTCCCTTTAAACAACACCGACTAGATCCCCTGGGGTGCAACAGGCCTGCTTTACTCTTCTGTCAACTGGAAACTGGGTCACCACCAGCTCCCTTGGCAGAAGCACACAATGGCCAGGGTGCCAGAAGTTTGGCCAGGGGTTTGCGGGACTGAGACAGAGGACACTTGTCAGTCCCCTTTGTCTTCCTAGCCCCAGCCAGAGATGGTGACGTGTGCCTGGCCGCACCCCCACCCCCACTCAGGTAAGAAGCGACCTCAGTGCAGTTCTCAGTGTTACAGTGGACAGAAAGCCCAACGGGCTGCCCCTACTTTCATCCTCCTGCTGCAACCCGCCCCTTCCCCCACTCCTCCAGCAGCCGCACACTGTCTGTGGCCCCAGATTCTCACCAGCCCTGACACCCCATCACTCTCAGGCCACCCTGGAAATCCACCTGGTCACTGGGGGATTATTTGGAGAAGGAGGCTAAATTTTGAGATCCAGATAAAAATATTGGCAGTGAATTCTGCAATACACTGTCCACCTGTGAGCCTGGAAAAGCTAATACTGGCAAGCTCACCCAGCGCTCACTGCCTGAGGTAGGAGCTCTTGGGACGCCAACAGGAGGCTTTTTAATTGGGGTTCTCTGGCTACACGGGAGGGGGGGAGGTCCATTTAGAACACCCACAGAGCAATCTCATTTAAAAAAAAAAAAAAAGATTGACAAATAGGTCATGGTAGTACACAACAGCCCGAAAAGGGTTCCTCACGCTATCAGCTTCACGTATTTAGTGTAAATACAGTCTAGACTCATTAGCCCAGCCCCATATCAGCCTGGAGCAAAGATTAGGTCTGAGGAGAAAAAAGGCGCTGCAAAATTGGGGGAGAGATGCTAAAACGGGCATCCTAGCTGGATCTGCGTGCACTGCACGCCTGCCCCCTGCCTGCAGAAGGCCCCGGTGGGCACGGGGCCCGCTGAGGAGGCAGTGGCTGTATCTGCAGACCCCGCAGCAGAGTCGCACCTGCAGACGGTGCTGGACAGCCCCTCCCGCCCTGAGAGCCAGGTCCCCAGAGGATACTCACGCTGACACTGTCCCCAGGACTGGCGGGCCCAGCCCCAGCAGCAGTCAATCCTCCCGCCGTAGCGACACAGGCCGACAGACGACACTATCTGCCTGGGCCACCTACCAACCAGAAAGAGTCAGCGTAAATACGGACACTCTTGCCATTGAAAACAATTCCCTCCTGGTTACAAAAAAGGATGTTAAATTGACAGCCAGCAATTTTCTGCCAACTCCTTCGTGCCTAGAGAAATGTAAAGATCAAACACCTTCCGGGAAATAGTTCCGCTATGATATAATTTTAAATTTCAGACACACACCCCACGCAGATGTGGGGGTGGTGGGGAGTGGGGGGCAGTGGTGGGAGGGGCGTGAGGATGCTTACCCAAATGGAAAGAGCAACAGCCAAAAGCAAGACTCCTCAAGGCAGCCACTGAGAGGCTCAGAGGGGGGTTTTTGAAGCTGGAAATAAAACAGGTTCCTCAAAGATCCACACCTGTTATAGGGGGAGGCCAATTTGGGCTGATTCATCACCAAGTGAAAGGCATTAACTAAAAGGAGGCTGGCTATGCCAAAAGAAAAACAACCCTGCCCAGTGCAAAGGGGAGGTGTGGCAGAGAGGGGAAGCGCCTCAGAATTCAATGAAACACAACTCTTCTGTGATAGGACTCTGGCAGCCAAAGTCCCCAGGGAAAAATGCCCCAGAGAAAGAAATCTAAATAAAGCCAAGAAGCCTTCAAAGTGTGGCTAACATCTCAAGTGTCCTTGTGGTGTGAAACTTCCCTGCAGCAACAATCCCCACCAGGGACAGTACATTAGGATTCCGGAGGGGTCCACTTGGGGACACCCGTTCATCCTAAGACTGCGACTTATTTGGTCCCTATTTTCCTGATGTAGGTGCACGCTTAAATGCTCCACACCCCCCATGTTTTCCCTGGCTGAAACACATTTAGAGCTCCAAGAGACAAGCTAATCACGCAGGGCGGTTCTTGCTGCAAACGCACACGTGCAGGCACCGAGAACACGCCGACGTGAACAAAGGAGGGCCTGAAACTTTCTCACGTCTAGCTGTGGTCTAGCTGTGGTCGCTGCGCATCATGTTTTCAACTCTCCCGGTTTTTTCAGCCCTCCATTACTTTATCACCTTCATGCCCCCAAGCCCGACTACAGAAAATTCCAGTTCCTCCCACCAGGTGGGAAGCCACCGGCCTCAGCTCTTGCCAGGCGCACCCCTGGCCCCCGAGTGCCCTCCAGGCACGAGAAAACCAATCAATGCCGGAATCGATTCGTTCCGAGATTGCAGGAAGAACAGGTGCAGCGCTGTGGGCTGCGCCTCGCCGGAGGTGCTCGGGCTGGGGGTGGGGCGGGAGGAGGATGACGACTGGATGGCGGGGCGCCCCGGGCCGCCACCTCTCCCTGGGCTCCAGCCGGCTGCTGCGCGAGCAGCGGCGGTCCACGCGGGGTGAAGGGGTCCCCAGTACGCCCTCCGCATACGAACATCCCAGCCTACACTCGCGCGCCGGAGCCGGTGC